TAATAATAATAAAGGTTGCTGTCCGTGATTTCTGGAGCAGCTGCTGACCACTGTGTGGAGTTCCTGCTCAGAATGTACAGGAAAACCTGCTTGTATAAGTTCGGAAGAGGCAGGCGGCCCATTGCTTGCTCTACTCTCGTTTAAACATACAGCTTGACATATACTTACCCCCTGAAACAGAGCTTGGGATGCTAAATCCCACGTGATAGCACGTGGAACCGGATCCTCTAGAGCCTCTAGAGCCTCTAGAGCCCGATTCGGTGGAATGCTATCTGATCTGCAGTCTTGGACCGGCTGTGGGTTGGAGTACCCTAGAGCACACCAGACTGACAGAAAAAGCATACTCCAGAGGAAGCCGAGGCAGGCCTGCTCAAGAGGCAGCAGCTCCATGTGCAATTTTCCTCTGATAGGGCCTAGGTGCTGTTGCCACGGTGATAATGGCTGTGCCATGTCATTATCTATCCACCAACAGTAAGAGAAGCTTTGCAGTCAAGATATTGTTTAGCAGACAGAGTGGTTTCTGTTGGACACTTAAGTACTGCTACAAAGCCCTGGTTATCGAAGATATTGGTGGAGATGACCTGTTACATTTGGGGGGTGCAAAATTTGAAATCAAGAGTGTGCACGGGTCTGCAAGTGAGTGCTCCAAGTCACCACTCAGCAGGGCACCTAAGCCCAGTGAAGCAGGAAGACTAGTGCGGACATTACACAACTCCTCTTGTCATTCGTTCATTATTCTTGATGCTTGATTGTTTTCTAACATGGGGCCCACAATTAAAGTCGTTTTGTTTTGCAGATCCGGTGATTCCAGGTTAAGCAGAGGTGCCGCACCATGTAAAGACATACACAGGAAATGCTGTTATGCCAAGCATCCATTCCAAAGTGCCCTTAACAATAGAGTGTGTTAATTGCTTCCCAAATCACCAAGTTTTCATTGATGTTTACCTTGATGTAAGTATTTTTACTTTAAATAAATAACTATTGGCAATTGTTTCTGAAAAGCTGTTTTGTTTCTTGCCTGCTCTAAACTGTGCTT